CCAGGGAAATGCCTAGGATCTACCGATATTTCATTTCATTAGCCCCCAGGGAGGAGGTGCCGGGAGTGCTGGGGCATTGTGGCAAGTGCTTTGTATTCATGTCTGTCGGTGTGAAGGAAGCTATTTGCATATATTTGCATGTATATGCAACCACACTTAAGTTGCGGCCCTGGGCGTGTGTTGTGGCCCCCGGGGCTTCCAAAGTTGAGTAGCCCTGATTTAGAGGGTATACGAGGCTGTAACCAAAGTGCACCTCTGACAACTGGATCGGCCCCGCCCAGCTGGCTGTAATGTGATCTGCGTGTTCAATGCTTTGGCGCCCTATGGAAACAGGAACGAATTTGGCCTCGCTAACAGGCCTGAGAGGTAACCTGAGCCCTGTTTTACCAGGGGAAATCGAGGCAGAGAGGGGAGGCGATTTGCTCCAGGCCACACACGCATTGAGATGGCTTGGGATTTGACATGACACACATCTGTTCCAAACAGGCCAGTGAAAAACTTGCTTTTGAAATTGCACATTTCTCAATCTCGGCAGCAGCCTCGTGGGGGCAGACCACAAAAGGGAAGGTCTGCAACAAACGAGAGAGGCTTCAGGCCAAATTCAATCTGGGAACCAGCAGGTGCAAAGCCCCAGGGCCTCTGAAAATCCCCAGATCCTCGCTTATTTCAGGCTGGAGCTGGGCTGCCTATTAAAATCTTAACTTGTGCACACAGCAAGGCGGGGAAGGCTGGGTGCTCTGCGATGGAGCCGGAGAGGGTTGTGGATGCTTCACATCTACTTAGGGAATGGGGGGAGGTGAGCTGTATTTTCTTTGACTTATGGGGAGGAGCCGTTTAAAAGCAATTGGCTGAGCTACTTGTCAATCAATATTGTAGCTTAGGAACTGAAACCCACCCAACTGACCTCAGCAACAGGCACAGCTTGTCTTGTCTGGCTGTTCATGGGGACATCACCAGGTGTCCCATGCAGTTCCTCCGCACAGCTGTGGGCCTGGGAGAACCTAGAGGCTCAGGAGGGGATTTAGCAGAGAGCTGCTGCCTGTCTGATTTCGGTGCGTCGCACAATAAGGCGACACGCTCGCTCGGGGTCACTCCGAGCTTATCTGTGCTGCTCCAGTCTGGCTGGCTGACTGCAGCCTCCTGCTGGGCAAATGGCAGCCTGAATCGAATAAACCCCCCGCTCCTGAGGGGGAGGAAGGGGCCCTCGGCCTGGCTCAGGTTGGTCCGCAGCACAGGGCGTTCTGGGAGCAGACCTGTCCGGGGCCTGTGGGTGCTGTGCGTGGGGAGATGCGAGGCTGGGGAGCTCTCGTTACCATTGCTCGCTGTACTGACTCGCGGTCCCTAGGCGGGCGCGCTGCCGTTTGTGCCCTAGAGAAGGAGCAGGCCCGTGACCGCCCCACAGGCGAGGAGGAGAGCAGAGCTCGCCTCAGATGTGCCCGTTCTGGGAGCAGACCTGTCCGGGGCCTGTGGGTGCTGTGCGTGGGGAGATGCGAGGCTGGGGAGCTCTCGTTACCATTGCTCGCTGTACTGACTCGCGGTCCCTAGGCGGGCGCGCTGCCGTTTGTGCCCTAGAGAAGGAGCAGGCCCGTGACCGCCCCACAGGCGAGGAGGAGAGCAGAGCTCGCCTCAGATGTGCCTGCTCCCTGGAACGCTGGGTTGGGAAATGGTCGCAAGCCACACTC